ACCATAAAACGCAAAGTGTCAAAGCGAAACGATTCAGATGGTCGCAGCCAAACGAGGTTGGGCAACATTTTGGCTAACATTTCAATTTGCACGGCCATAAAAAAGACGGCTGCAAATAGCCGTCGTCCACCGATGGACGTTCGAGTGCTCGACGAGGCCCATACCCAGCACTCGCACTGGCCGAATCATTCTTCGTTGCCTTCGATACATAAAACTATATTAAATTTCGTACGAATTCTCCCAGTCCCCCAATCCACCAATCCCTTCTCGTATTATTATTGAAGTGCTTCAATATTTATGCAATTAAAATGCCAGTAGATTATGCTAATTAATTGCTGGATATTAATTGTAATGTATTGTATTACCTCATCAATTGCCTACCCTCCCCGTCCCACTGGAGGCACGGATAGATGGATGGACGGATCCATCTGTGTGGGTGGTAGTGTGGCAATCAACTGAGGCAATCAACTTTCAGAGAGTGCTACCCTGTAGGAGACAGACAGAGATCTCGTTGACCATTTGACTTTGATTTGTTGTTTGGACTACCAAAGAACAAGTGGAATGCCCCTTGTTTCTTCCTCTCCCTGTGCCTGTGCCAGTGCCATTAGGCACTTTCCTCTGGCTTTGGGAGGCGGCGCTCCGAGACCCGAGACCCGAGACGACAACAAAAGGAAGCCAGAAAAAGCTGAAAGACCATTCGTAGCACTCAATTAACGCATTTAAAACTACAGAGGACCCGCCCCCTTTTAGAGGGAGGGAGATCTGAAGAGGAGAGGCTGCCACTTGTGTTGGGTTTATTTCGAGAAATGCTGTTGCCTGGCATTGTGCATCTGCTGCCTTTGTCTGTGGCACGCGGCAGGCAGTCGAAGCGAGGCACATCCACATCCAAAGGCATTGTCTATCCGTCTGTCCCTCCCCCAAACGCATCCAAATCCGGATCTGAGTCCCAGCCACCCCAATCCCCCCAAAGCCATGGAAAAGCTGTGCATCCCACAATACATTAACAGCCATGGCTGGAGCCCTCTTTTTGGCCTGACGATCGGAATCCTTTGCCCTGCAGAGCCAATCGAATGTTAAAGGGAAAATACCATTGGCTTAAGAGGTCCTGGGTTTTGGAATTTCATCGCTATTGGGTTTGATGCTGATTTTGGTAATATTTTGCAATTTGGTAATCGGAAATCACTTATCGAATGGATGGGTTTCACTCCCTACTTGTTGGGGGGTTCACAGCTATAGTTTTTTCCCTGCAAAATACGAGTATCTGTGTTGATTAGTGGACTCCCTCCTTCATATAAATATGTGTCATGTCCTGTAAGGCCTTCCTGTCTGTTTGGCTCCAGCTTTCACCCAAATATCTGCCTCCAGTTGGCACTGATTTGGCACCCACAAAGGACTTTCCATTCAGTAAACTTAAGCTGCGGAAATTGTTATTAGAAATTCTTGGTACGGCTCTTGGGCCCACATTCAAATTTGGTTCCTAGCCCTCAATTTATTAGCATTTAAGGAAAGTTATTAGCTTCTGAGGCAACTTCTGATCCTTGACATTTGGGGGTTGGGTTCATTAAAGTTTTAGTGGCTCTGCCACCCCTCCCCTCCCTCTATTACCCTTGAATGGTCCGCCCGCATCTCGTTTTATTACGAGAAATAATTTAACGCATCAACGATTGGCATCTCTGGCCATGATTATTGGACAGTGGCCGTTGTGTCTGCCTGCTTAGTCCTGGCTCCTGGCTCTTGGCTCCTGGTAATTGCTCTGTCTCTCTCTCTCTCTCTCTGCCTGGATGGTAGCCTTAGCCATGAAATTGTATGGGTCTTTATGGCTCAGTGACCTGCACACGTTCATGTTCATGTTAAAAGACCAAATTACATTTTGCATTTTGATTAAAAAGTGAGCACCCAACCCTCTCTCACTCCCTTGATCCCTCTCTTTCCCTCTCCCTTTCCCCTTCTCTGTCCCTGTCTCTCGAGCCTTCTTGGGCCCCCTTTTACTTGTCCATCTCCTGCGCTTCCCAGGAGACACTCGAAGCGTGTAGCTCGTTTGCAATTTAATGAAGCAAACTGTTGCTAAACACACGACTAAAGTCAGTCCCTGACGGTGAGCGAGGGTGGAGGGGGGGGTGCAACCACCGGGGAGTGGGCTGGCAGCGCGGGGGGGGGTGACTGGAGGAAGCGGATCTGGCACCGCTGAAGCATGAAAATCATTTGATGTTTTTGCGCGATGGACGCTGTGGACTCCTGGATCCAACAGATTCTCAAAAGAGAGAGAGAGAGAGAGAGAGAGAGAGAGAGAGAGAGAGAGAGAAAGCGAAAGCGAAAGCAGCTGCCAAATGCGCTTAGCGTCAAACATCTGCTCCAGTGTTTGGCTGCTTCCTCCATCTCCATCTCCATCTCCACATCAGCCTCTATCAAAGTTCTCTGCTGGCAATTTGACAAGAGCGCATTATCCTTACAAACCGGCAGCCGCAGCTGGGCCTCAGTTGGAAATAGCTGCCAACTATGGGATACCCTTTAACAAACAATATTCCATCTGATGGTCACATACAGCCTGGGTAACACGATATACCCCATCCTTAGGCGACCAGTTTTGGGTTTTTGAAAATGAAAAATGATACAGAGAAAGTGAAAGTGAAAGCGAAAGAGAAAGAGAAGGACGGGGAGAAAGCTTAGCCAAGTCAAACGCTTCCGCTGGCATTTGGCCAACGAAGAAAAACGAAAGCCAATTCAACAGAGCAAGATAAAAGTATGAAATATATATATTTAAAATTGCATAAATCAAAACACTTGTGCAGAGAGAGGCCAGAGCCAGAGGCCAACAAGGTTGATGATGCTAATTGATTGATGATCGACTGTCGACAGATGGTGCTTCAATCGAGCCCTCAAGAGCCTCAAGATATGTGGGATGTGAGATTTAATTTGCCACTACTCCACCACTGTAGTCCCGAATGAATCTTCCGATACTGTACTATGCCTTAATTGGCAAGGATTCTTTAGTGCAAAATGGACCCTCTACAGGGCCAAATTTTTGTTAATTGCTTCCCCCATTTGGAGCAAGGCTTTCGCCGATGCAAAGTTATTTACATGATTTTTGGAATTTCCTTTCGATACTTTATTCCTTTGATATTTTTGATTGCATATCTTTGCTGCCGCTTTAAAGGGGCATCGCTGTAGCCGTCTGCATTCGTTTCGCGAATCCCAGCACGTCCGTGCGTACGAGTATGTTTCCCCACCGCCCGCTGTTAAAACGACTGAAGGACCTCAAACCCAAAACCAATTCGAAAGTCTCAATTAAAGCGCACTCTTTGGCAATTCCAGCAGTGACTTCTCTCTGGCCAGATATCGACAGTTCCATCCACAATCGCCATCCAGAGTTACAATCAGAATCGCAGTCGTACCCGCCGCATGCCGCATGCCGCCTCCGCATCGATATCCATAGTCGCTGCCACTGCCACTACCACAGGCATCGTAAGCCGTGACTCTGCCAGTCTGCCAGCGTGCCAGTGTGGAGGAGCACATTCCGTGGGCGATGACAAAAGGAATCGGAAAATGCAATGGGAAATTGTTCAGACAATGGCCAAAGCGGGTCGCAGGAATGTTGCACAAAGTTGATGTGCGGGAGGTGGGATGGAGGTGGGGCAAGGGGAAATGCTTATACTGCAATGCCAGAGGCAAACGAAAAATGCAAATTGTCAAACATGTAACCGAAATTGACGAGAGACGGAAACTGGTTCCTGCAACTCGCTGTCACGCACATCGCGCTGGGGGAGTGGGGTGTGCGGTGGGAGAGGGGGGAATTGCTTCATAGGAATATTCGTAGCACCGCGAATATACAAGCCGTCAGTCTGTCCGTCCATTGGTCTGTCACTCTGTCAGTCTGCCAATATGAGGCTTGTCAAAATGTCTGCAGGCTCCCCTACACGCCCCCTCGTCAGTGAGCCATTCCCGCCATCATCCCCATCGACCCCATCATCGACAGCTGTGGCAAGGATGCCAGAAAATTAACTCAAACCGAACTGGCAAACGCACGGCATGCCCCTGCCTCCTTGCCTCATCACACTGTGGCACGTCTCAGAAAATGAGAGGCAGGGAAGGGGCTGGGGCATGGGAACTTGTTGCTGCAATTTGGCAGCCATTCCAGTGCCAGGTCCAGGTTCAGGTCCAGGTCCAGGTCTGGGCCATTTTTAAGCAGGCATAATTAATGGAAAACGGTCCTCGTTTCCTCGGATAATGTCAACATTATCGCTGCTAATTGGCAACGGGGGAAGCGACAGGGAGAGAGAGAGAGAGGGAGAGAGGGAGAGGGAGAGGGAGAGATGGACACGAATGGAGCGGGGCACACGAGGTACGGTGGAGTGGCAGCTAATGGATTTACCTCGTCATTTAGAGGATGATTTACTATGTGATTTGATGGACAGGTGGAAGGCAAAGGGCACGATACGAATAACTGAGTTTAAGGTTTAAGGACAAGAGGAGTAGACAATTAAAGATGATGCATAGGGGGGTTGGGAAGGAATCTATATACATTAAAGGCAAAAAGCTTTGCGAATTATCTAACAATAGCCAGCTTTTTCACCTATCGTTCTTCTGGCAGCAAGCACCTCTCTTAGCCGATTTGGACTGCTTGAAAGCAGTGCTTCCACGTCACGCTTTGGGTGGGAATCGGTAGTTCCATCATTTGATTTGAAATGCCATTTAAAGGGGCCATTCCCGCACGATCTGTTATCAGTGATACAATGACACAGATCCCATTAAAGGCTTTGTTCCTTCCTTCGATTCGACTCGAAGACTCACCTGCTTTATTCTCAGTGTAGCTTCGTTGGCAAATACTTTGTTGCACCTGCAAGTGCATTGGTCCGTTCGCAAATTTGCATTTCACACCCGCAGATCTTTTCCACTTTCCCTCGATGGCTTTTGCAATTAGCGAAGCGCCAGACTTGAGAACCAAGTGAACAAACAATCGAATGATCTCAGGCGGAGACACATGGAGAGGGACAGAGTTTGGATTGTGGGAAAAAAACAATTCTCATTTATTTATTGTGTGTGTGTGCCTTATAATGTACTTTAGATTTGAGCTGTGGATTTATTGTATCTATAGATCTCCTAACTGTTGTCGGAGATGAGGCGCTGCTCATTGTAGCGTATGGGATATGTGAGTGCATTACCCTTGTCCCACGAGTAGAGTTCCTGCGGAAGTGGAATGTGGATTGTGGGAACCTCCCTTCCAAGGCAAATACCAAAGGATCACTTACCACTGTCAAGGGATTGTAGCCCACGGTGGTGGTGTGGCTGAAGGGATTCGAGAACGGCAGATTCGTGTTGAGCAGCTTACCCTTATAGAGGTCCACCACATATCGGATCTGTGTGTTCTTGTCGGTGGCCGAGTCGATGGCATAAAGGTTGCCGCACACAATGAACATTTCCCCGAACTGATGATGGTCCAAGGTTATATTGAAGTTGTACTGCATCTTCAGGGTCTCCGCATCCAGCTGCGAAAAGGGAAACGAACTCATTCCAACGAACATCTAAGAGAGGATACTCTACGCACCTTGGCCACCAGAGTGTTGTTGGAGTTGTAGGTGCTGTAGATGACCCACAGACCCACCTCGTCCACATTGAAGTCCATGAAGTTGAAGTCCGTGGCGTAGAGTCGGTTTGAGGCCGCCACTCCCGCGTAGGGCAATTGGGTGGCTACAAGAAAGGACCTCCCGACATCAAAAGAATGTCTCGGAATGTGTGTGTGTCTGTGTGTGTGTGGGACTACGTACTTATCTTTTTGAGGCTTATAAGATCCAGCTTAACCACCAGATCGGAGTTCCTCTGGTGGTAGTAGAACGAGCCATTGAACACCACATGAGCGTTGCCCTGAAGGGGAGGAGCAACAGTCTTTGGATCTACCTTCTATATATATATATAAGTATATCGATACTCACATGGAAACCCTCGGGAATTTCGTACTTGCGCCTGGGCACACTGTTCATGCGGTACTGTATCCGCGTGGTGAACTCAAACAGATTGTACGGATCGTTCTCGTTCGTCACGAACGTCTTCTCTCGATCGCTGTCCGGCGCTGGGTCTCGCAGCCACGATCCAAACTTCTCGTTAACGACCTTGTGGAACACGGGCTTGCCAACGGCATATAGATAGCAAGCTGCAAGTATAGGATACTCGTACGTACAAATGGGGCTTGCTGATGGGATCCTGGCTGGGATACTCACTCTTGGGTCGCTTGGGCAGCCCCGGATAGCTGAGGTTTCCTGTCGGCTGGATCTCAAAGTTGTTCAGTATGGAGTCCTTGCACTGGTACAGGCTGAAAGAGCATTGGAGGATGTGTACATGTGTATCTGTGCTTCTGTGTATCAGGGGGAAAAGCAGGCGGCTGGGTATACCTGGGATCCGGACACTGGTCACAGACGGGGCACTCGCTCTCCGGCGGTCGCTGGCCGTACACCTTGATGCTGTTGCCCACATACGGGGTCTCGCTGTTCGGATCTTGCGCTAGTTTCGGAGAGTAAGAGTCAAAGGACAAGTAGAGTCTCTGTCAATCCGCAGGGATCCTGTCTACTCACGTGCTATCTCAAAGTTGACCATGGTGGCATTCAGTTCGTTGCGTGCCACACAATGATAGTAGCCAAAGTCGTCCTTTCGCAGGTTGTTGATGGTCAGCCGCATAGATGTCTTGAAACTGAAACAATCCGCAGATCGCAGTTCAGTTCTCGGACAGTGCGAGATCTCTGGGTGGGGGGACACTTACCCATCCGGATACGATTCGATGCTGTACTTCTCGCTGGGGTCCAGAATCTTGCCATCGTAGGCCCGCTCCCAGTAGCGTATGGCCTCGGGGAAGGCCTCCACCAGACACTCCAGCGTGGCACTGCTCTGGTACTCCGCGTAGATCATTTGTCGGTACACCGAGATCATGGGAGCAACTTTTAAGGAAAAATATGAGAAGAAAGGTACAGCTACAGGTACTGGCAGAGGTACAGGAGATCTCGCTTACAGTGAACTTCCACGATGAAGGTCGCATTGGCGACGGGAGCAATCCCATTGTTGGCATAGCATGTGTAGGCCGCCATCTGGTGCCTCGTGATGTTCGTGAACTTCAGGAACTGTCCGCTAATGGAGGCCACTGAGATAGGATCAATGCTTAGAGGGGTCCTTAGGTGGGTGCTCGCTCCATTCCGCAAGGAGTCTACTCACTCTCCATTCCATTGACGTTGATGGTGCGACCGTCCTCGCGACGCCACTCCACCTGCGGCTGGGGACTGCCGGTGGCCGTGCAGCTAAGGTTCAGGGATCGCCCCTCCTCCACAATTACCGTGCGATGGAAGTCCGGTGCATGCAGATCTGTTATCGAGGGCGGTATCAGCAGATCGTTCGAGGAGCTGCCATTGGGGAACTGCATTTTCCATGCATTGATGCCGGGAACTCCGGGCGTGCCGTTGGTGCCCGGCTTTCCAGGACGTCCGCGCGGACCAGCAATGCCTGTGGAAAGTGAAAGATCTCCTGACTCTGGAAGCAGAACGAAATGAAAGAGACCAACCCTTGAGTCCGCGTTCGCCGGGTGGTCCCTGGGCGCCTTTCGGCCCCGTTATGGACAGCCCATCCTTGCCGTCCTTGCCATTCAGCCCGTCCTTGCCATCGCGCCCCGGCTGTCCGTTCTTGCCATCGGCACCCGCTCGTCCCGGCACGCCGTCCAGTCCCGGCTCCCCCGGCACACCGTCCCGTCCATCTAGACCGGACCGCCCGACGCCGCCAGCATCGCCCTTGGGTCCACGCGGACCCGCGGGCCCCAGATGGCCGACGCCATCGACGCCGGGGGCGCCGGGCAGTCCGACATCGCCGCGATTGCCCTTCGGGCCGGGAATGCCGGGCAGGCCGGGATTGCCGGTGGGACCCTTGGGGCCCGACTCACCCGGCGGACCCACCGGTGCCGGCGGACAGTAGTCCTGGGTGCCCTTGCAGAAGCCCGTGATGATCTTCTCGGGCACGCGGCAGTAGGTGTTCAGGTAGATCCACTCGTCGCCGCCGGGGGCCGCACCCTTCTGGCCGGTCCGCTTGCGGATCTCTGAGTCCTGCTCCTCGAGCGCCATGCGGTGGTTCGGATTGAAGAACTCGATCAGTGGGTCCGCTGCAAGTGCCAGAAAGAGATTGGTTAGTGGGATTTCGAGAGGCGAGGCGTCCCCTCTTCTTCTTCATCGAGCCTTGCCGTGCATCGAGGCGGGCGACGAGGCAATGTCCCGCCGGACTCGCATCCGCATCCGCTTCTCCTCTGAGGCGCGCGGGGCGTGACCGATCAGATTGTCCGTGAACTTGCGCTCGTTCTTCACCTCTCCGCTGCCGCCGCCGCTGCTGCTGCTGCTGATCTTTCGCGTGGTACTGGCGGTGCTGTCAAGAGAGAACAAAGATTGGAATGAAGCTTGCCAATCCCGAACGGGGGAGGACATACCTTGTTTCCCGCTCATGATCCGCTTCGATTATCTGGCTGACCATCGCTCGCAGGGCATCCTGTGATCGCTGCAGCTCCGCCTGGAACTGTGCGCGAAACAGCGAGCTCGAGATCTGCGTCGGTGGGGGATCCTGCTGTGTGTGCGTGTAGAAGACGATGGCGAGGCTGGCCAGGATCAGGGTGAGGGCCCCCAAATAGATGTAGACGAGTGTCAGTGAAGTGGCCGCCTTGTTGGCAGTCGCAGCACCAGCAGTCGATTCTGTGTCGCCCACCAGATGGTCACTGGAGGCCGCGGACTCGAGACGCCGCGGCTTCACCGCATTTGTTGCTGTCGCGGCGGACGTGGACGCGGTCTCGTCCTCATCCTGCTGCATGGAGCGTCGCTTCTTCTTCTTCTTGCTGGCATTGTGGAGACTCTGGTTGACGGCCAGAAACATGTTGTAGCCGCTGTGCTTGCCGCGAGGCTGCTGCCGAAATCGAATGTGAAATTTGTGGTTTGATTGCGGTGGGATTTTGATTTTGATTTATGGAGCGCGAGTGCAGTTCGAAAATAAAATATCCATATTTTTAGATCACAAAAAACAAAAATGATTGAATGAAGGAAAGGCAGGGAGGAAGAGTGTGTGGCGGTGGGGAAAACTCGGTCTAATTTTAAAACTATCGAAAGCCCCTCTGGAACGGGGACGCACTGTCTGTCTCTCCTCCTGCGTTCTAATCCCACTTGCAACATATTGTTGCAGCCTCAAGTGAAAATGCAAATGGAAATGGAAATGGAAATGAAAATGCAGTTTCGACTCGACTCGATTTGTGTTTTGTGTTTTGTTTGATGGAAATTTTGTTGTACGTACGTGCATACATAAGAGCCGCTCGCTACCAAAACTTTTTCACACTTTTCCGCATAGAGAGCGGAGGGAGGGACGGGACGACCACAGGCAGGCAGGCGGTCGGGCGGTCGGGCGAGAGAGAGAGAGAGAGAGTGTGAGTGTGAATGAAAGAAAGATAGTGAAAGAAAGAGAGAGCTGGTGACCGAACGCGTTGGCGTCTAATGCTCGACTGAGTGACAGTTTGGATGTGGGCCTCCGTTTTTGCTCCGCTTTTCATAGCCGGCAACTTTCCCACGCACTCTTTCTCTCTCTCCCTCTCTCACAAATGAGAGCGCGACAAAGAGAGAGAGAGAGAGGGCGAGCGGAAAAGCATGAGCGAGGGAGCGATAACAAATCGAGTCTATAACTAGATATAACCCATGGCTATATCTCTTGACAGCTTTACGTGCACCATAAATTAATCGAAGACTTTTGGGAAATTTGGAAATTCGTTTGATTTCTGCTAATTTAAGAAAACTAAAGGAAATCTTGTGGAAAATCTCTGGCAAATGGCAAATGATTCTTCCAATATAATCGTATATATCTGAAAATAAGGAAAATATAGAGGAATATAGTGTGAGAGAGAGAGAGAGAGAGAGAGAGAGAGAGAGTGATTGTTGGGGCCTCTCTGCGATTCGACGCCTGCGCCGTGGCCTCTATTTTCCTCTATCTTCCGGTAGCAGCTAACGGTAAATCAACAATGGGATGCACACAGAGGCCCAAAAGAGGCCGCAGAGAGAGAGAGAGCAAGAGAGAGAGAGAGAGAGAGAGAGAGAGGGAGGAAGAGGAGTTGGCCAAAGTCTGGAGTTTCGTACGATGGGTGGCGGGTGGAAAACTTCAGCCATATCCTCAACAAGTAAGAAGTTGAACTTTGGGGAACGGCGAACAAACCCAGGCTTTGGGGACGGATTGCATTGGGAATACCAGTAAAAAGATATAGATGAACAAATATCAGTAGCTAATTTCCCCAAAAGGTGCCACTTGCCACTGAATACCACTGAATGAAGGGTTTGAATCAGAAAGAGCCTCTTTATCGTTTCCATTTATCGTTTGATGTATCGCCTGCCTGTCTGGTATTCGTATCCTTGCCAGTTCTTCGGTAGCAGTTCTCCTGAAGAGTATTCAGTATGTGGATTGTTCAGCAGGGGCTACTAGAGACCTTTCACTTAATTAAAGTGTTAAATAAATGTCAGAGCATAATTGAAGGGGGCTTGAACATCGACCACTGCACGTGCTAGTGGCTCGCTTTGCGCTTCATTTGCATTTCCGTTTCGAAGGCGGCAACCGAATCTGGATTCAATTTGCATTGGCCCAATGCCTACACCGGCACGAGCCGATGCTCAATGAGCCGTAACAAGCTCGTTAACAGGATGGCGGCGGCGGTGACGGTGCCGGTGCCGGTGATGGTGGCTCCAGGACCTGCATCAAGGAGCCAAACATTCAACATTGAACATCCACTTTGGCCGGCTGAACTTCTGCATTAGTTGCACAAACATGCCACACGACAAAGGCCAATGCCAGCGCGTAATTTGGCAGCTGACGAGCAGCACCAGTGTGGCCCTGTTCCGGGTACGGGTGGGGATCGGGCGTCCAACTGGCAAGCGGCTCAGTGCCAAGAACATCAGCAACAAGCCGTCACAGCAACAGCTACGACACTGAGGGAAAAAGCCAAAGCCCAGATTCTGAATGAATCACGGAAATGATGCAGGATCCTTGAATTCTTCTGTCTGAAGGAAACTAAAACTGTTTCGAGCTGAGAGTATACCTGGAATAGATATCTTAATAGCTTCTGGCTCCCCACAGCAGAGTCTATTCCGATCATGGGCTTTTGGAAATGTTCTTCCCATCAATTTCCAAAATATGAATGTGTTTTTTTTTTTTTTCTCAGTGAAGCCCTACATCAGCGTATAGTCAATAAATCAAAATGTCAAGATGATGGTCTTCGAACTGAATGCCGAAGGTAAAGCAAAGCAACCGCAAAGGAAATGGGGGAAAATCTCCAGACAACAGAGAACAGACCAAAGGAAAAGAGCCATTACACATCGCTTAATTTGGCCCCAGCTCTGGCCCCATGGCAAATGACAAATTATATGACAAGAAACCGACATTAAGGCCCACCACCATTCATTCATTCACCATGTCCGAGGTGTAGCGGAACATATTGACTGGTAATAATAAGTAGTCCACCCCGAGGCCCCCACTGAGACCCCACTGGTACATCGTACAATGTTGCGTATGAGGTAATAAATGAATGCAAATTCAAAGCCAAGGAGGGAAGGCAGTTCGGTTTTATATGAGCACCGTCGGAAAGTGCATTTCGAGTCGACAATAAAACTGCAAAAGCAACAGACTAACAAAAAACAATACGACTTTTCCCCAACCCATGCAAACACCCCCTCCCCCCAAGTAGGAGGAAAGCCAGGGGGGTGTTAGGAGTAAAGTTGAAATTTGATTAGCATATTTCCCAGGCGGTAGCTAAGGATTTCAGGCTCTGGTTCCCCATCAGACTGATTGAAGCGGAACAGAGGATATGTATGTGCAACGCGGAATAGAGCGAAAACTTATTTTAAAGAGAAATCATTGTATTCGCATTTCAAAGGATTAGGTTTATGTATCTCTTGAAACAGGATTAAAGCATGGATTTGGTCGTTGAATTTTACTCGTAAGAATGTTGTATGCGAATATCTTTGAGAAGACAATGAAAACCAACTGAAAGAGTCCGGGAAATTGAAAGAAAATCACTTGCAAATGTAGTACTCTCCTAAGAAGAGGAGACTCGAGAACATTTTCGAGCATGGAAAGTGTGAAAATAAAGCCAATTGTAGAGTTTATAGGAGCACATCTGAAAAGCAATAAAGTTTGAGGAATAAAAACCATGAATGTTGCTTCTTTTTATCAAACATTCCACGTAATGAGGCACTCGCATATCTGGCTGTAATTTTTATGGCTTCAATCTTGGAGGCTCCGCTTAAAGCACGACGAAAAAAAAAACACCCAAAAATGAGAAAAGCTTTAAGAGACCTGAAATTTTATAATTGCCGCTTGTCCCGGGACAAGTGGAAGTGGGCGTATCCTCCTTCATTGCTTAAATACACCGCTGGAATTTCTGACAGCCTCTTCACGTCTCGTCTCCTTTTCAGTTTTGAGTTTTCCTCCCGGTTTGCATTTTTCCTTTGCATATTTATGAGGCTGGCGACAGACACAGAGGGAGCACGGACAGGATGAGAAACAGGAGCAAAAGAGGGCTCTAAAGGAAGCGGGAAGTAAATGGGGAAATCATTGAACAGCATCGAGTGGCAGCGCTTATCTCTCGTCAGCGGGAGTCAACGCCAACGAAACGAAGCAAAAGGAATGCGAGGCCTGCTGACAATAGCCCTTTGATTCTCCGATAGTCGAGCCCTTTGATACCCTGGTACCATGGTCCCTGGCAGAAGTTATGGCATTCTGATGTTTTTCATTCTTTTTTCGGTGGTTCTTTCGAGGGCAAAGATGCTTCCAGCATTACAGAGATCTACTAGATCGTTGACTCTGTATAGCTTCAACGAAATGATTGGCGGATATAACAGGGCAGTGGAAACTTCTAACCCTAGGGGCGGTGAAGGCTTTCCATCTTGTTATTTTTATTATTATTATTTTTTTTGGTTTTTTTTTGTTATTTTTATTGCTCTAAAATCCAAGAGAAAATTCGCCTCCTCCAGAGTCCTGGTTACAGGAGGTGGAGGGTTGGCAGAGGGGGGGCAGAGTGAGTTAGTGGATGCCGCAGATGCCGAGCGCTGCCTCCGAGCACGTGCTTCTCCAGAGCAACAAATTTCGAAGAGCCGAGCGACGGACGCTGCTGCTGCTGCCGCTGCTGATGCTGCGTCGCTGCCGCTGCTGCAGTCGCTGTCTGCGCTGACGCTGACGCAGAGGTTGCCTGTTGAAATTTTCGAAATTCAGCAGCGCAGCACATTGGAAGTTCGAAAAGAACGAGCAGAGAACCGAAAGCTCTCCACCTTAGCTTTGGCGGCATTCCTGTGCTTTGGAGCTTTGCGCAAGCTCTTGATCTAGAGGGCGCTTGGGTTCAAGCCCATGACGTCATTGGCCTTTGCCCGAAGCTCACTGACGTCTGCGAGCAAAAGCTGCGAACGATTCGATCTACGACAACTTTTTGGGGCGCTTTCTCTGCCGTTCTGGCTCGCTCCCTCTTTGATAAAAAGCTTTCTTCAAGACGTCACAGTTGCCCCCAATGTCAATGTCCTTTGCAACGAAAAGAAAATCTGCGGAAAAAGGGAAAAGAAACTTACATAACATAATCATAATAAACGAGGTCACAAGGTCACTGGACCTCAATTAAACGTAACCAAAAGCCATTAAAAATCCACCCCACTAATCGTTTATTTCGTTCTCAACTTTCTTCTCTTTGCAGGTGAGTTATCAAAAGTTTATGTTTACCCGATATTTACCAAGCAAAGGCTATCCGCTACCCAAGGATACTATGGTTTGTGTCCTGTCTGAGTGGAATAATCAAATTTTTTAAACTAACGGCAGCTATAAGCGCTATGACCTTACCCAATCCATTATGATCTTAACCTTACCCCAAAACAATGCTGATTTTTCAACAGGAGAGCTCACTCTTTCATTCAATCCAAGGCTGTAATGTATATAATTAATACTCTTAGGCATTTCAAAATTTCAATATCAACCTACGATGTTAAGCACTTAATATTTCATGAAATCTGATAAAAAATATGTCTGTATCAATCGTACCAATCAATCGTTGGGGCATGCTATCCATCAGTTGATGTAGAACTCGCCGCCAAGCAAAACAATAATATAAATAACTCTTTGGCAGAATGAAAACAACAAAAAACCAAAATGAAGCCATTTAAGAACACAAAAACGAGGAAGTATTTTCGAATCCATTCAGAACCCATGACGAGCCCAGATGTATATAGAATCTATCTTTGAGCACGATGAATAACCAATAGAAGGAAAACCGAACCAAAGCGTCAGGTTGCTCCTTTGCGAAGGAAAAACGGGACCAAAGCTTCAGGCTTTTTTTGCAACTGCTTGCAACGAAAACGGACCAAGCATTCAGGTTTTAGCTACGCACTGCTTGCCCAGTTGCTTGTGTAGCGAAAGGGAACCAAACCTTCAGGTTTAGT